CGTCATCCACATCATCGACAAAACGGATTTGGGAATGTTCATGTTTCCATTGCAAGGGATCTCAGTGTTTTTCGTCATTAAATCGCTACTTTAGGACATATGGAGATCCAACGTGAAATAGTATACACATGCCGATTATATTATTGCCAAGTTGGCCTACGCGCGCGATTCGTCGAACTAACCATATATTCGACCAATGTCGTTGTCAGTTACCTCGCCGTCAGGACAAAATATTCAACCAGTCTTAGCGCGAGACCAAAGGCCTTTCCCAGGCCAACTCCCATCGTGGTGAGGGGCGCCACCACAGTGTAGAATCAATAAACCCACGAAACGTAAACATACAGTGCTTCAGAACCTACAGCGGCTGATATGTCCAAGCTTACGCTCGTGTTCATACAATATGTATGAGATTTAATTCAATACATGACAATTTATATAAAAAGAACAGAGTCGATAGTACACAATATTACGTAGGTGCGCGGTGATTCAAGTCGTTTTGTGTTTGGCTAAACCTGAGGCTGAAAAATCCGACTTCACAACTACAGGTCTGAATATGCAAAGATACTTAGAAGATTGTGCCTTATTGGTTACTCAATCATAACCTCTAACAGTCAGACCAATCAGAGAACAGCTTGTGTGTTGGCAATTTGGTTTTCGACGTCATCATCAAATTATGCCTTGCATATATGCTGCGACTCAACTGTCAATATGACCTGGTTATACACAGTGTGTACAGCCATAGAACGTTTTTTTTTTTCACTTGGGTCTATGGTATAACCTTGTATTCATAAATCATTGATGTAATTAATAAACATATAATACATTTCTGACAGTTGAACTATCAACAACTTCGACAACTGCAACTATGCTAAAATCGTCCAGGAAAAGAACGTACAACTAAACTAGTACAATAAACGTGAATATAAAAACGTATATACAAGCAACCTAAACAATTTCTATGTACCGTAGTTAATATAAAAAAAACACTGTAACACAATCGTACTTGACGTTAAAGGTATGTATATAGTTAACATCACATACAAGGTATAATATATCACAGATACCAAACGTCAATTCCAATTAAACGATTCGGTCTCCAGCTAAACATGGAACTGTTGTTAATTGTTTAACAACTGTTTGATAGTGAACTCGCTTTCGTGAATTTAACATTTTGGTATTTTAAGTGGTCTTCGCATCTCTGGTTCCAATTCCCTACGAACCCCGCAGCGTACTTATGTCGAACCTCTCGTGGTATTAGAATATCTCTGTCCCCAGATTCCGTTACACGTGGACCCACAACTTGGTATCACTAATTTGTCGGTGGCGACATGTGTCGACGGCGATCCCACAAAGATCGCATACAAGTTCAGAAACTGTATCATGACGAATGTCTCAGCTGAGGTCCTTCGTGTGTTGCCAGTGGCAACTCACCTTTAATTTGCATATCTGGGAGAGCAGTATGCAGCGTTTTGATGTTCGTTTTTATCTGTCTTAACCTCGGTAAATGGTTGGTTTTTCTCCGCAAAGACAGATCTACAGGGGTTGTGTTGATTGTTATCTTCTTCCGCGCACTGTTCCCTTGAATATATGAATATAACTTTGAATTTACAAACAGCAGTACTTTCATTACAACCGGGCATTTTTTTCTTCAAAAATGTCTTTTTTTATGCGCAAAGAGCTTAAAAAATAGTCGTCGAGATGGCTATGATTTGCAAGTCACGTTGTGTCGAAGCGCCATAACTTAATAGAGGGACTGTGGTCGAAGTATAAACATTTATTCAGGGTAGGTCCATCGAGTGACAATTTAGCGACAACTTACAGATACACCCCGGGCAATAAACACGTCAGTGCTTATAAAACGCCCCATAAAGTCGGTCCGGTAAACTCCTAATAATATGGAGTGGTCGGCAGTACTTGGTGTCCAGACCGACGGTCACAGTCACTAGTTACCTTTGGTTGCTACATAACTAATGAAACAAACGACTGTTATAATCTATATTGTTATACTTCGCTTATTGTACGATTTTCAGGATTACATTGCTGTATGTTTTCAAAATCATAAATCGCGTTAGTTCTCATACTAGAACAGACATGGTCTATAACAAGGAGTGCTTTAATACACATATTAGGGAGATAGGAATTATTAAATACGTCGACATAAACATATTTTATCGTTTTTGATTGTTTCGTTATCCTAACCCAGAATTAGTTCTTATATTTGGAAAAGGGGTCTCTAAAAAGTTTTAAAGCAGAGGGACACAACATTGTACTTTGAATCACGGATTTAAGTAACCGTGATTGACTGTGGAACTTTTTTATTATGTTTGAGGGACGCAAACTGTACGTTGATTGGGTACATTGTTAAACAATGACGTCATTTATATATTTCATAACAGGCGGCGATTGTGTGTGAGTTTTGACCAATAGTTGCTGAAAATGTTAAGATTCTCATTCCAGAGAATGGGTCGTCTATTTTGAGCGATATTTTTGCCGTGTTTGCTTGTTTGTTTTTTGACTGGACATCGCGGGATGGATATTTTACTAATATCCTTATACGCCGATATGTGATTAGACTTACGTGCGATCATTAAACGTGTGGTGGCGCTGTTCTTATCAGTCTCACTCAGTGAGCTAACTAAACGCATAACGAAACGATCAAGAATGTGGCCCCGAACAGCTCAGTTTACACAAGCCGGATAAAAGATACTCGATACACAAATGTTAGTTTTACACAGCATCGATGGAATGCAGGGCGATGAGAAACACAGAGTGGTAGATACAACCGGTATCCGTGCGTCTTCGCGAAAGAAATCAGACCCACTCAGGGCATATTGCACGGCGTTGACCTTTAAGGTCAATGGAAAACGGCTGCGACTACGAGTATAATTCTTAACGCGGAGAGCGGGCTCTTGGGATCCGTGTTCTACTGATTATATCACTCCACACACATGTAAACTGGTGCAGTCATTTATTCAGGCAGAGATGCGAGCAGCAAACTGAATATATGTATGATATTACAACGCCTATTAAAATTCATGTTGTGCCTGGGTGGTGCAACCAACACAAAAGTCACAACGACAAAAAAGTTTTAATGTTTGTTCAATGTTTTATTTTATAGCAAACACACCGGGCGGAAATCGTCGAAATGAAAAAAGGGGGATCAAGTTGGCGCGGAAACGGTGGATCGATCAAGACCGCACACCATTGTTGTGTACGCAACGTGGTTCTTTTAATAGTCCCACCTGTACCGATACCGTGCTCGCCTCGCCTAAATAACTGCAATTTGATTTGATGCCGTCTCATAACGCGTCGACTATAATTACATGTTCGGCGCCAGTATGGACAGGATGGCTAAACTCGGTGACTGGCCACTGTAACCGACACTGTTTAACATACCTTCGTTTCTCAGCTACAAGTAAATACCAACATACATGACGTGTGCAAACAAACTTGACCCATAATCGTTTGTTAATTTGTTGACTGGTTTCAGCGGCGATCGTTATGACAGACCCGTCCCGCCCTTTGACCAGCCTCTTTTGGATGTCTGTAACTCTACTAATTAAATATGTAAATTTCTTTTGCTCGGCCCCACTTCCTTCATCTGGTACCCTCGCCTGGTGTGTGACCCCTGGGTACTGCTGAGGATGGGATTGTTTATAGACGGGGCCCCCTGTCCCCCCTGCCGTCCTCGATTATATTTTCAAAGACTTCTGCTACGAAGTTAACTGTCACACGTATACAATTGTTAATAGTATTCGACGTCAACCTCCTGACTTTTGTCCATTAATAACCCACACCGCGTGAGTAAGTGAACTTTTAGCGGAGTGGCTATCCTGGTCGCTTTATCACTCGGCCAGGAAACAATTATAACCACTTAAAAACGGGGGTTGTAAATTTCGACCATTGCGTCTTAAAATGTTTCTAGCTTTCAGAACGCGTTTCAAATTCGCCGGATTTTTTGTCCATCTCGGATAAGTAAAAGGATAATGACGTTTTGTAGAAAGTCAGAGACAAAACTCATGCGTCCACGGTGTAATTACAGTATAAAAGACGCGACAGGATCCTGAGTAGTTCCATGTTTCAGCGATAATTAGAGCATTTTTCAGACACTAAAATCCTTTCATAAGCGCGTCCTGGCTTTTATCATCGCTTAACACGTAAGAGTCAAAACCGACGCTTCACTGTCGCCAGAAAAACTAGCCACACGAGTGCAATCATTGTTAATGTCTAGCGTTCCCTTTTTCCTCCAAAGAAATATTTGAGAAACTTAGATTCTAACACAATTTCGCAACTAAGAAACGCGTGGGTCTCTAAAAATTTAAAATGTAACTTTGAATGCGCGGAGAGACTGTTATCCCAACTGACGGGCCATTTCTCTAATATTTGTAATCTCGATTTATCTAGCTTTGAAATAATTGCAATTACGAATTGCACGTCAACATATCATTGTCTATCTTTCAACCAATTACAAAAAGGGTTTATATAGTTTAGTAAGCTGACCCGCCCCTGCCTGTTGGACTGCAGCCAATCGCAACTCTACTGACCATCGATTTACCAGACTAAACCCACGTGGATAAGGCATTCTGCAAACAATTGACAGTTTCGTTATCACTGTATTATTCGCACTGGCGCCAATGTTGTTAGTACGGAGTAAATTGTGGAGATCTTGAAACCGTCAGATCCATTTCCCGAAGGGTAGGTATATGCGAAAAACAAACAGAGCGTGCTTCGTTGAAAAAGGCACGAACAACTAAAGTCAATCCGGCTTTCGCGCACTGAAAAACATTCGTATTCATAGGTGTCGTCGATTGGATTTTACTAATCCATTGGGAAACGTCTCAGAAACCAATAATTGCCATCTATATCTGGCTAAACTGTTGACATTTCAGCGACAGTCAGTAAATGATCACCCCTGAGATATTAATGGTTTCGTCTCAGATTATGTCAGATTTGAAATCTTTTGCCCCATTTCAACATAAACACCCACACTCAGAAAGCGGTGTATATGAACACTACTGATAAAGATAGTCTGGTTTCCTTACAGAATGCTTGAAGTTTCGTGGTAAACGGCGGCCGATTTCGCCTCAAGCTTCTGTCGTCGATGTATTTGGAGTGAGTCGTGGCCCGAAGTTGCCGAACTTTGACCGTAATTTCTTGTACCGGAGTTGGACTTTGTTGTAGCTGAAACCAGCAACGTGTTGGACATTATACCAAACATGGGGGAACACATGTCAACATCGATGGCAAGACTCAATGTTTTGTCGTTGTATTTGCTGCTAATCGCGACGATATTTCTCGTGCTTGCTTCAAGAATCGCCAGGGCACAAGTTCCCGATCAAGGTAAGCTTGCCTGTTTTTCTCTTTGCACGTTTTTGCTGTTGAGTTGATGTATAATGTGTCAAGTTTTGCTGTATGTGTACATAGCTCTCATTCGACCACTCATCCACATAAAACCGGACTCTCAACTTGTCAGAGGAAGTTTAGTTTATCAGAACTAACCCCTAAGCATTTACCTTGAATTTGAAATGTGAAAGATAAATCACAGACTTTCCTGTTATTTTAAACCTGAAATCTGGACGTTTTCATCCACTGAACATCGACGTACGTATGCAATCGACGGCCTTGGAGTGGCCGAGAAAAATAAGACTGAACGGCAATTTGAATTTTTGCTGGAGCGTGTCGGGCTACGGCGAGTAAAATTTCAGCCTGGGTTTTGTGTTCATGTAACGCATACATGACATTTGGACAAGGGGGTTGGGTCGAATACGTATCAAGATGGCTCCCGTTGCATTTCAACACCGGGATTTCTAAAACCGACACTTCAACGAAGCATGCACAGTTGTTTTGATGCAGGTTATTGCGCCGACCAGAGCGAAATTACCCCCGGTGTTGCACCGGTGTATTATAGAGGGACCCACTCATCGCTGTGGGGTTTTATCCGTGGCATAGCTCGGTTGACGCGATCATCGTTCGTACCATGGCACTTTGAACGCATTTATAATCGAAGCTTGGCACAGTGTGTAAATTTACACACACAGAGCTCATGACATAAAAACAACTTAGTTGCGTGTATTTGATTAGGGATCAGTCGAAATACGATGATTTGAAAAAAAAATAGTCGATGGCTTTACGACTGTCAGCACACAGTCGCGGAGCCTGTTTGACTGGAAACGTTGTCGGGTATGTTTTAATTTTACCCAGTAAACTAATGTTTAGATTTAGGCCACTCAGAAACTGTAAAACAATTCTCGAACATGAGCATTTTTTTCCTACACTGCGCTAGTGTAAGCAGTTAATACAATTACCTAAGCTAACAGCGAAGTCCTTGTAGACTGCTTTCCCATTCAACTCATAGTTTCGGATTTCTTGTTCGGCTGTTCATTCTGAAGCACACTCGACTTGGAGATCTTTTTTGTTTGCTTGAAAGGCGATATTGTTCCAGCGAGTGTTCTCTTTTTCCTCCACGAGATTTCTTATTTGTGAGGCAGGTCAGGCACAAAAGCGTTGAGATAATAAAACATTGCAGTCGAGGGAACGCTGGAATCGAGCTTAAAAAGGGGGGATCATGGCGAGTACAATACGAGGTACCTACTTCACATGTAAACACAGTTAATTTGAAGTGGATGGCTATGAAGAAGCATTTGCCGTTGCCAAATAATCTACCATACTTCCAACCTTCAGTGGAAAAATCCAAAACTGTTCAGTTCAGAGATAACCCAAGGCAATTTTCTCCACCTTTTTTTCATTTAAGTTTAATTTAAAGGTCAAGATAAGATAGACAAATTATGATTTTCAGATTTTTATTTATTTATTATTTTTATTTTGTGCTCAAATTCAAGCAAATTTTTTCACTCTAAAAATTGTGTACAATGAACCAGCAAAAAAAACTCAATTCTGGGTGTGAACCTGTTTTGAAATCTAATTTGGGAATTTAATTTCAAGTTTATTCTTCTTTGTTTAGGTTTGAAATGTAATTAGAAATTGATAGTCTACAATTAAATAAATCCCTTTCTATTAATGATGTTTTGTATTTTATTTAGTTAGCTCATCTGAACTATGGTCGTACAGTGTGAAAAGGATCCATGTTTCACACGTTTCTCAATATTACTGTACATTATGGGTCTGCTGACCCTACATGGTTCTCATCGCTTTCAGTACTGCTACTGTTGCACTTTCATCCTTGTTTAATATTCAGCATACTCTTCATTACATTTTCAGAATGCCAAATGAACTTACAAGTGAATCTTGAGTTTTAGTATATATTAGCTTTTTGATATATTGTCACAACTAGCATATTTTTAACGTAGCAAAAAATGAGGCTGATTATAAACCAATATCTGATAATTTAGTATTTACTACAAATGGATTTTAAAATATTTAGTAAATTTCGATAACAATTCTCAATTTACAAAAGATTGCAGAGACATTTTTCCCAATGGTTGGCAGTGTTATATAAAACTAGTAAAGCACTCTCGATCTTGTAATCGGCAGGTCCATAGTTTTACTACATAGATTCACAGCTACTGTGATAGATTTAGCTGTGCCGTCCTATTCTTCGTGATCATTCTAAAAAACTAAATGGACCATTTGTCATTTAATTTAATTGTAGCTTACTTACGGAAACTTTGTTGTCATGTTTTACTACCATTTGTATGGGCTTAACAGTAGCTACAAAATTAACTTGTGTTCCATACAACAGTCATATTATATGTAAACCCGCCCTGACTGTCTGAATGTTTACTTTGTTTGTTTATTATTCTATGACTCTTGTTGGTTTTTGTTTTGTTTGACCTTTCAATGGAAAGACGTCCCAGTGGAGTATGTACGTGCTTTGCTAGACTTGCTGAAATTTGTGTCATTTTGGGGCAAAATCTTGACCAACTTCCACATACTGCAAAATTACTTTATATTTAATTTGTTGTCACTGCATCTGAAAGCTTTGGAGCGATGGTATGATAATCATCGTAGGAAGAGCAGTCATTCTGTGTATGTTGTCATTGTTATTTTAATGTGTGTGGGAGTCGGCCTTCTCAGGGGGTTAGTTTTGTGAGCATTAAAAGTATATGTTGGGCCTAGTAGATAGTCTTCTTGTTAATGGGCTAAAAGTCTGTCCCATAAAAGCTCTTAAAAAGGCAAATTAATGACCCATTGCTTATTCAGGCCCAGTGCCAAATGTTGTCGTAGAGGTTGTTCAGTGCATGACTGGTGATGTGTCGTTGGTACACACCAAATATTGGATCCAGTCTGCAGGTCTGTGTGTACCCGATTAGCCCAGGCTCTATTGTTCTATAACAAACGTTGGAGTAGTACCCAAGGGGCTATTGGCAGTGTCACCACTACTTCAGCTAATTCAGCCTTTTTCATTCTCAAAGACTCGCTCCTTGTACCCAGATCTGTGCAGACTAAACCCCCTTGACTCGTGGTTCTATTCATGCTATTTTGGCGATCTTTCATGAGATTGTCAAGTGGTTCCGTCTTTTGTCAGCGAGTACAAAGACAAAACAAGACTGGCACACAGTACACATTTTGCATGTAAATAGCCTTTTATTCAGCATTCAAAATTTGACCACTTATTTTATAAGTCAAAAATAAATAAAAAAAAAGATGTCTTTAAACTATATGTTATTTCACTTCTCTCAGAGGGAGCATGTAGATGTTTATTTAAAGCAGAAGTTTCTCTTACTGGCCCAATGTTTTCAATGTAAGGATATCTGCCTTGTAATAAATAGTGTTGTCTTTAGTCTGTTTTGCTACTCCAACTCCTGCGACCTTACACACAATGGGAAACCCCTTTTAATGGAAATGCCGTTTTGTGGCATACATTTCTGCGTGCACGTTTTGCTGGCCAGTGTGGAAGCATTCGGGTTTTATAGTTTGCTGCATCTTGCTGGAGACCAAAGGTTGCTCAGTTGTCACTGTGGTAGCATGTTGACGAGTTGCAGGCCATTTTGAGCTTTTAAAAGGTCGTGTAGTGTAACTTGATCTATGCCACCATTCCACTTGTCCACTGGAAGCATGTTGTATTTCATGTGGCTGCCTTTACCTCCCACAACCATGTCACTTAAGGCAATAGCCCCCCTCCCTCCCACAAATCCCTACTAATAATAAGGGATTGATCATTTAAAACACTGGGAGGGGAGATGGTATTAAATCTGCTAATCATATTGTTCTTTCACGAAGTTTTAAGATTTTGTCCAGATTGATGTTGCTGTAAAATTTATTTATGGAGCAGTATTTCATCACTGAGCATATTAATTAAATTTATGAAATCTTATTACTCTGGCATGTGCTACCAAAACTGACTGACGACAAGGCAATGGATTCTTAAGACATGGACAAGTAGTGTCAATTACACTTGCTGGCCATAAATTTTCTTTCTAAACAAATCTCTGCATGAACTTAGTTTAACCTAGTGGAGTGGCATGTGATTTCTTTATTTTATTGTTGACAAATGGATAGCATGTGAGAATTGAAATCGATAATTTTGTACCATAATTGCATTTATTTAATAATTTTTAGATTGGTTTATTGAACATGAAGATGGTTTGCTATGAAATATTTACGATTGTTACGCAAACTGTTTAATCATGGAATGTAGTTGCATATTACTACTGTTTAATTAAATATTATTAATATTATAATCTGTATTAGGTTTAGTTATTAATTTCTCATCCGTCTCTCAAATCATGTGCAGTCATAAAGAAATAATACTGTTTGCTGTAACCCTCAGTTATAATGATGAGAACTGGACATATTTATGCGCTCTGCTCACGACAGGTTGATGTTGAAATATTACAAGACTTGTGATATTGTTTCCCAACACCAATTAACAACGTAAACACAGCTTAAATATTAATTAGGGAGATTTGACCCCTAGGGGTTTTGAAGGTTTGTTATCTCAAATAACAGGCTTGTGATGAATCGTCATGGTGACACGTCCAGGAAATGTACATGCTTGTGACACTACAATTCTGAATGTAATCCCATCTGCATTCATTGCTATTAGCGATTGCATTCAGAGGATGGAAACTACGGCCATACTGCAATGTTGCCAAAGGATGTACGTGTATTTGAACGGCTGCTAAAGTAACGGTAATGTGTGTTACATGTGTAGCTGTAAATATTTTCTTTCCTAACTGCCAAGGAGGAGAACTTGATGCATGAATTATTTTTGTCTATACTTAAATCATTTAGTACTGGACTGGATGTTTAAAAGGTCAAAGGTCAATTGGGGTCATTTACTCAAAGATCGTAAAATAATAAATATTAGAATATATAGTAATCGCGTACATATTTTTGCTCAGTTATGAATGCCCCATGTCTTCATTTATATAAGGTAG